TCAAAAAATTAGATGAAGCTGGGTGCATTTGCTCAAACTTATAATTTTAGCTACTTGAGAAGCAAAGATTATTTTTGCCATCCAGGCAAAAATATCTCCAGACTCCATCTCAGCCAATGGGTGGACAAAGTGGCTTGTACCTGTCATCACCAGTGGCACAGGGAAGCACAAATGGGTGTTCTTTAGTACCAAATGATCAAATCCAGGGCGTCATACATTCTAGGCAAGTACTCTACACTTCTACCTCTGAGCTACACCTACAGTACCCTAGTCTTTGATTCCTTGAGTTTACATAGACAACTCAATAGTGTTTTCACCTATCAGAACAGCTTTTTATTTTTTTTTTTGCCAGTTCTAGAGCTTGAAATTAGGAACTTAAGAGCTTTTTGGCAACAATGCTTGATAAGAAATGTACTCATTACCTTGCCCATGTAATTGTAACCCCTCTGCACAGTATTTTCACAAAAAAAATTTTTTTAAAAAAAAAAGGTTTTGGCTCCAGGCTAACTCTTTAAACCACAGCCCCACTTCCAACTTCTTGGTGGTTAATTGGAGTCTTGTCTTAAGGACTTTTCTGCCCTGACTAGCTTTGAACTGCCATCCTCAGATCTCAGCTTCCTGAGTAGCTTGGATTTATAGATGTGAGCCACTGGTACCTGGCTCAGAACTGCTTTTATATAACTAATTTCTATGTTGACTGATGGCTGGATATTGTGAATCATTTTAAAGTTGTAAATAACTCACCCACTAGTTTTAAATTCACTAGATAAAAAAGGTACAGACGCAATGAGCAGCTGAAATGTCCAATGTAATTTCTTTTTTCCCAGTTTAACCTTTCAAACACAGTTTTCCAGGTTCATGTTTGACTTCAACATCATAGCACTTTCTATGATTTGTAACAGGCTGAGACAAATGAAGTGTTCAAATTCACCTTATTCTAACAATAAGGCTTAATTTAAGCTCAAAGGTAAGCTGAAATCCAACCATAACTGTACTCTTGCAACATAACATTCTAACCCTGCTTAAATCCAGAGGTTTTTATTATACAATTTGGTTTTTACATCAATAAAATCTCAGATAAAACAGTAAAAAGGAACAATTTAATTTGTATTGAAATAAATATTAGGCACACAAAGAACATACAGTGAAAAAGAGTCACAATAAATTACAAGTGGAGACATTACTTTGCTCAATCACCAAAAAGCCCTTGATACTTCCAATTTCACACCATCAAATTTATCATTCTTGCTGATTTAAGCAGAACACAAAACAAATATGGATCCCAGGGCTTACTTTCACAGGTACCAGCATGGATAATTTACTACAGTGATCCAATTTGGAAATCAGTAGGGACCAGCAAATCGCTGCATAAAAGAAAGAGCGAATGCGCTCCTTTTTCCTTGGTGTCAGCAGGCTATGATTATTATGTTTATTAGATTTTCTTCAAAGGACTTCACATTTTCTCAAATATGCAGGAGAACTATATTTCCCTTCTGAGCCCTACATTAGCATTATGTGTTTTGGTCTTGAATACAGGGGAATGATGAGTTTTTCAATTTATTTTATAAATTTATACAGTCTGGATAGTATTAGCCTGAAGAATATAACTCCCCAATGTGTACAATATTAGATATTAAAAATGGATTCAAAAGAAGTTACTAAGAAGTGCTGACATACTGTATATACATTTTTAGCTCAATACATTGCATTATATAGAGCAGCAATGTACTTATAAATCTAGCAGTTTTTATGATTTTTTTCTACTCTGACCCTTTAACATTTGTTCCAATATATGCATGTTGTAAATGTTAGATTCCCAGGATTTTGCTCTTTTGTCTCAAATTACAAAACAATGCTGAAAAGAATTATTCTTAAAAGTTACAAAGAAAAACATTAAAAGTTTAGAATTAAACTATCATGAACCAAGAAACAAAGGTTTTAAAATGTTGAGCTTAGTAAAAAAATAGATTTTGAAGGTTATGACAGAAAATGAAACAATTCTTGGGTCCTTCTTTCTCCTAAATGAACTAATACACATTAGCAAAGATATCAATATTCTTTTCCTACCATTTTCTAAGACAAAGCTATCCAAGAACAAGAATCTGCTTTAGAAAAAAGAGTACTGGATTTTCTCTTGCCATATTAATTCATAACTCATTGTAGGTCAGTCTTCCTCTATGTACAGCACAAGAGGGGCAAGACTACTATACGGATGGAATCCCTCCTAGAAAGTATTCCTTCTAAGTAATCCACCTATGCATCACCTTAGAATATACCTATTTCCAAGGTTAATTAACTACCAGGAAGCCTCCCAAACTTTCAGTAGCGCCTTTCTTTTTTTTTTTTTTTTTTGATTGGTTGTGGGGCTTGAACTCTGGGCCTGGGCGCTGTCCCTGCACTCTTCAGCTCAAGGCAAGCACTAAACCACTTGAGCCACAGCACCACTTCCAGTGCCCTTCTTCTTAAAACAAGATGCAGTAAGCTTCTACCAGAACATAAAAGGACAACTCATTAAAACAGACTGAAGAGAACTCTAGTTGAGCTATATTATCACATAGCATCTATGAAACTTTCAGTTATTGAATTCCAATGAGGTGTTAAATATAACCCACATTTACTTTCAAAACTAGTACAAATCTACCATATTACTGCTATAGTACCTGAAGTGTGTGTGTGTGTCCGCATGCACACATGTGCATTCTGGTACTCAGGGCTGGAACTCTGGGCCTGAGTGCTGTCCCTTAGCTTTTTCACTCAAGGCTGGGGCCCTACTACTTAAGCCACACCTCTTTTTTTGGTCCATTGTGGGACTTGGGTGCCATCTCTGTGCTCTTCAGCTCATGGTTAGCATTCCATCACTTGAGCCACAGAGCCACTTCCCGTTTTCTGGTGGTTAACTGGAGCTAAGAGTTCTGCATACTTTCTTGCCTGGGCTGGCTTTGAACAGCAGTCCTCAGATCTCAGCCTCCTGAGTAGCTAGGAGCCACCAGTGCCAGGCCATACCTCTACTCTTTAGAGATGAGTCTCATGGACTCTCTTGGCTGGGCTGGCTTTGAACCACAAGCTTCAGATCTCAGGCTTCTCACTCAGTAGCTAGGATTACAGGCATAAGCCACCAGCACTGGAAGTCAATATGTTTTTATATTACAAAAAGTTTGAACTCTAAAAGGTTCAACTAGCTTTATTTAGTGTTCCTCAAAATGATGATGAAAATAAATACCATTTCTCTATATATCTGAATATGGAGGAAAAAGAAAAATACTGAATTGATTTGGTTATATGAGTTCAGCAGTACAAGAAAAACAAAAACAAAAACCTAACAGCCCACGATCTGTATGTTTCTCCTAACTGTAGCTTCTAATTAACTGATTTCCTAGAGAGCATATACTGACAGGGGACTTCTTTTGAACACCTCAATATTTTAATAATGTATTCATACAGAGAGTGTCACTCAATGGTTTAGCATGAGGCTGATGGCAAGCAACAACAAAGTACTCATAGAAAGTACTTGTTGTTAGCACTTGCTAGCAAGCCTAAGACCTTGAGTTTAACTCCAAAGCCCCTCAGCCATGCAGGGCAGGCTAGAAAAGCCAGGGAAGGAATGTTCCAGGATCTGGTGGGTAAATGCCCCCCTCAGTCTCTTGCTTGAAAGTGGAATGATACCAAGGTGATTGATCTACAAAGTGAGAAGCCAGACCTAGCTTGGTGCGCACAGCTCTGATGGAACATAAACAGAGAATATCCGTATCAGACAAAGCCTCTTCTTAATCTTGTCTCGGAACATAAACAATCTCAGAGAATATCCGTATCAGACAAAGCCTCTTCTTAATCTTGTCTCGGAACAGAAAAGACAAAGTCACCAGGCAAAAAAAAAAAAAAAAATGCTGGGTAATATGAGTAGCTGCTACTTCCTTACCAATTACAGGGTTGGTCTTGCTTTTTTCCTTCACATCCTAATAAAGTTCAGTAAGAGATAGAAGCATTAAAAAAAATACTTGTTCTTTCAATATGGAATTAATGCCTATTTTTTAAAAAAGGGTCATGGAATTCAGACCCTTAGTTTTATTATGAGTTAGCACTTCAAATGGCATTTAATGGTCCAACAGCATGTGGAAAGGGAGTGGAGCTATCTTAGGAAAGAGTGACACCTACTGATTAAAACCTTGGGTGACAACTTTGAAGCTAGCAGATCCTAAGGAGATCTAATCATGAGGAGTGAGCTATAGAATAACTATAAATCAAACTACTTAGAGCTTTAGTTAAGAATATTTGCGCCTGGAGCCTGTGGCTCGCACCTGTACAGCAACTCAGGAGGCTGAGATCTGAGGATTGCAGTTCAAAGCCAGCCTGGGCAGGAGAGACCTTGAGATTCATCTCCAATAAACCACTCAGAAAACCGGAAGTAGAACTATGGCTCAAGTGGTAGAGCTCTAGCCTTGAGTTGAAGAGCTGAGGGACAGCGCCGAGGCCCAGAGTTCAAGATCCATGACAGACAAAAAAAAAATTGTCACAATTCCTTAAAATTAATTTCACTGTTCTCATATGGATCATTAAAAAAAAAACTATCAGTTCTACTTGCTTTATTACATTTATGTACTCCTTTTTCTTTCCAGGATAATATTCCTGTCCTAAACTTACAAACCTAGTATCTTTTTTTTTTTATTCTGGATGTTAAATCAAGTCCTTTAAAACTTGTAAAAAAAAAAAAAAGTTCACTTATAAAGTAAGAGATAATTTCTCCTACTTCATTCACTCTACGCACTGCTATTGTATTTCCTTATTTTGATAGGTGTGCATGGAACACTATAACATCAGATGCCAGGTCAGCTCTTTATACATCTGTTTGCAAATTAAACATTAATGCTCATTATAAAATTTACTTTCTCATAAGTTGCCTTCATTTAAGAAACAAATCTGCATTTTCATTCAAGTATAAGCAAATCAAACAATAATTCTGCTATGTAATTTAAAAACCTCAATTTAAATCATGTTAAATTATATTTTTAATTTTAAATTTTTATTAAAACCAACATGGATTGCTTCTAGTGAAGTTTTTAACTAATAGTAATTTTTAAAATGAAAGAAAAAACTCAAGACACACAGACTTTTAAATATGAGAAGATAAAGTAAAAGCAAAGCACACTACAAATGAATTTTGTACTTTAGTTAATCTAAGGTTAATTTCTAACTTGGAATTTTTGCCAGTTATAAAAGATGTAACATAAGAGGAAGCTGAGTAAAGAGTATAATGGAACTTTCAGCACTATCTTTGAAACTGTTCTATTAATCTAAAAATGAAGATTAAAAAATATATATATAGGAAAAAGAAGCTCCTTTGAAATAAATATGCCTTCAGCTTCCAAAATTTCTTGACATAATTCAGGACACTATTTTAAGACATTAGAAATCAGCATGTTTACTTAATATTATAGTCAACTTTATTGCTCTAGAAAGTTGTTTTCAAAACCATCAGTTTACATAGACAGTGGTAAGGAGGCTAGCCACAAATACATAAAAAAATCAACTGCATATTAGGAGGTTGCTTCTCCAACTTAGTGGACAAGTATTACAAAATACAAAAATAGCATTAGAGTTAAGCTATCAAGTAGAATTTTTCCTGTAATTTAACTAGGAATATCACTTTTCTATACCGAACTCGAAGAAAATTGATGTTTTTTTTTTGTAAGTTACTGGTGAATGTATTTGATAAATCCAAATTACATGCGGACAGAAGAAAATTGGTTACAAAAACCATTACAGTGTACTAAACTTGTACAGTGTTTTAAACATTTCCAATCATGCAATAGTAATAAGGATCAGAATGAGTTTTATAGAGTTGACAGGAGCTCAATACACAAAATTTAACATAATATACAACCCAATCACAGTTGCATAAAACATCCAATTCCCTCAAATATATCTATGTATTATGAGCCTGAAATAGACACTATTCCCCTATAACTATCCCGGCCCCATTCCCAATCATCTTACCTATAAACCTTTCCATTTAACCTTTCAAATCAGATTTGATGGATAAATATGTAATCTACAGGATATTCTTCATTATTATTTCAGATCAGACACGAGTATAGTCATATGCTCAATCTTCAATTACATTCCTTTCAAAAGGCATCTGAACTGCTGCAACTGTCTACGAAAATTCAAGCCTAAGAAACCAAGAAAATTGGAGTCAAGAATATGAACTAGTAGTTCTAAAACTACAATTATGCTAATAACCTATATTTTCATATTTGTAAAAAAAAGCATTTTCAGTTTTTCAAGGTACTCAATGATTTTCTAGGGAAAAAAAAGTTTTGTCACTACTTTGAAGTAAAATACTACTATGACCCCAAATATTTATCAATTTTCCAACAGACTTATAATTGAACCTTTTTAAAATAATCAAAGTCACAGAAGTATTTTTGGAAATAAAATTTTAGAGGGTCAGAGCATAAGATACAAACAGAATTCCTCTTGTAATGGTATATCCAAAATAAATCTGTTCTAGCAAAACAGCACAAAACTAATTTCAAATAAAATTGCAGTGGTAATGCTTCTGTTCAAATCATCAACCAACCTGGGTGCTAGTGACTTACTCAAGAGGCTGAGATCTGAGGACTACAGTTCAAAGCCAGCCCAGGCAGCAAAGGCCATAAGACTATCTCCAATTAACCACCAGAAAACTGAAGTGGTGCTGTGGCTCAAAGTGACAGAGTATTAGCCTTGAGCAAAAACAAAAACTCAGGGACAGCACCCAGGCCCTGAGTTCAAACCCCATGACCAATATATATATATATATATATATATATATATATATATATATATATATCATATCAACCAAAAAGGCAAAAGAATACTGTCTCAAAATAAATTAAATTCACATGTTATTTCCATCATGAACTCATGCCAAAAATCCAGGTTGAAAGAAATTTCAGAACTTAAAAATTAATGTAATATACTTCATGATATAGGCACAACAGCATCTAAAAAGATTTGGTACATTTGTCACTAGATATAAACAACCATTAATAATAGAGCACAGAAATTTTTCCTAGAACCTTTTGTAAAGGGCTGATTAAACATGCCAGGAAAATAATTATTTTTCCATTGAGATGCATTTATGTAAATTGCACTGAGGTCAGTATAACCACCTGGAATTTGTGACCCCTAGCAGAAGTACCAGCTGGTAATAATGCTTATATTATGTACAGAGTTACACAGTTTAACTAGATGTTACAACTACGCAACTGTTGGTGCCAATCTGCTTATGAAGGCAATGCTCTGGAGACAGAGTCTTCTCACGAATAGTGGACAGGCAGGTTTCATTATTATGTGTTCAACAACAATCCTCAGTTCATTAAATAAGTTCCTGCAAGATAAAATAGTTTTTGTTCAGAAACAAAAGGAAAATGCACTACAATGTTACCAAATGCTGAAAAAGTTTACCAATAAAAACATTTAAAGAGATAAAGATTCACCCAAAATGTTCTGGAAGGAACATGCAAATTACACATACTAAACCGAATTATACATGTGAACTTTGTGGACCCAACACCTGGAGGCTACGTGGGGATATTCTGCAACCTATCAAGATCCCAATCTCAAAGCCAACCAACAAACCACCACAACCGAGTACTGTTTTAGTTTTTTTGTGTGTGCAAGTACTGGGGCTTAAATTTAGGTACAGGGCACTATTAGCTTTTTTCAATCAAGGCTGGTGCTCTACCACTTCAGTCACAGCTCCTCTTCATTCTGGTTTTTTGGTGGTTAACTAGAGATAAGAGTCTCAAAGACTTTTTGCCTGGGCAGCTTCAACACTTGGTCCATAGATCTGAGCCTCCTGAGTTTAGGATTTCAGGCTTGAGCCACCAGTGCCCAACTACCCCTATTTCTTGCTTGAGTTAACAACAACAACAAAAAGGCATTTTTAAAAATTAAAGCAGCTTTCTCTGAGGACTATAATTAGTAAAGATTTTCATCCTTCACAGTAGTCACCTAATTTTCCTTAGAGGAATTCAACTCCTAAAGACAAAAAAAAAAAAATTATAAAGTATTAAGCCATCCACACTATGTATGTAAATGAACATTTATCTCTGAGCTTTCCTCATCTACAAATTAGGAGCAAGTACTGCACAGAATTAAAAGAGAAAAACACAAAGAGAACACATTCAATAAATGTTATTTCACAGCGGGATCATTCTTCAAACTGTCTCTTGTGTGCCTTCAGACTAAAGCCCACAGACCATCCTACAAAATCTGTCTGGTTGCAATCTAATGTTATGCCTCTACTCCTACTGTAAGATTTATGACTGAGCTGAGATGCTTGTCTGTATCCCAAACACTACAGTGGGCTTGGCCTTTGTTTTAGCATACTTGTTGCCCCCAAAGTACTCAGGTTACACACATACGTGTGTTGGCTGGTAAGCCCAAAATTATATATGTATTGTACCATTACTCATAAAAATTTGAAGTAAAATCAGGAACAATTTTGATCTCATAACTTTTTAGCTGACTTCCTGTATGCAACTCTTACTCTATCTTTTTAGATCCTGTTATTTTTATGGTTTGAACTTTTTTGTAAAGCAGTATCTATAGGATTGATTGCAATATATTGTAAGCATGTAAAAATGTTAAGATTCCACCTCTGTATAAGTAATCTAAGCTAAAAGAAAAAAAGACGTCTGGCACCAATGGCTCCTAACTTCTTGGAAGGCCTGAGATCAGATCACATGTTAAGTCCTGCCCAGGCATAAAAGTTTTCTCAGATGTTACATAATTGTTATCTTAGTTATCTCAAAAAGCCTAATGCAGACAGATGATTTCCTGACCAGAAGGCAGTGAGACCCTATCTCAAAAACAATCATCCAAAAACTGGCCTGGAGGTATGGTTCAATACTAAAGGTACCTGCCTGGCAAGTACAATGCCCTAAATTCAAGCCCAAGCACAAAAAAAAGTAGTAATTGCTTTCTCACAGGAATATAGTTTGGAAAGATGAACATTTAGCCAAAATATCCCAGCCCTTCTGATATCACTTACCATCATGACAACATTATAATCTCTTAGGCTGCAAGGCCACACCTAGAGGTGAAGATTTCTCATTCTTAAGAATCTTTTTTTTTTTTTTTTGTCGGTCGTGGGGCTTGAACTCTGGGCCTGGGCGCTGTCCCTCAGCTCTTCAGCTCAAGGCGAGCGCTTTCCACTTGAGTTACAGCGCCACTTCCGGTTTTCTGGTGGTTTATTGGAGATAGGAGTCTCACGGTCTCTCCTGCCCGGGCTGGCTTTGAACTGCGATCCTCAGATCTCAGCCTCCTGAGTAGCTAGGATTACAGGCGTGAGCCACCAGCGCCCGGCTCTTAGGAATCTTTTAAGTATCTTTTCCACTGGGGCAACTGGTCTCCAAACTTACATCTTTTTTATCCTGTGGATAAGCTTGCAATCTGTCTTCTAGAATATTTCTAGAAGATCTTACCTTGGGGCTTTATATTCTTACCCTCCCCTCCGCCCTGACCATGTTATAAACTTTAAAGACTCTCCCCTATCTGAAAAGAAAATCCAAATACTTCATTTAGTACTTTCTACAGCTTTCTCTACAGCTTTCCTGTACACCTAATGAGCTCAAGTAAAAACAACTTTAAGAAAACCTCATGTCAGAACACAGATTCATTCTTTACGTTGTAAGGCTTGCATTTCTAACTCCTCAGTCTGTCATGATTTGTCTTCTATTCTCTATGCTCTTACAGCATCTTTACCATCATTCTGACTTAGTTGTCTATAGTATACTCAGCATAAGTCCCTGAACATGTCCATAGACATTTTATCACCTGCACAGTTTTCTGAATGAATCAGAAATCGTGTGAAGCTAGAAAGTTCTCTGAAAATAATATATAGACCAGACCATCTCAGAATACAGGTGAGGACTAATGAAGTCAATGGTTTGTCGAGGTCACAATGCCAGTTCTTTTGCTCTGGCTCTATCTCTGTTCGAATTCCTTAGAATAGTGCTACCAATAGAACTTACTGAGGATGTTCCAATCTAGTGGCCACAAACAACATACAGCTTTCAAGTGCCTGAACTACAATGTGAAATTCTAAGTCTAATTAATTTTAATAATGAAATGTGGCTAGTGTATTGTTAGCACCACTGTAGCCAGTCTAGAACTCTACAAAGGTTTTAACAAAAAATCTAAGATGTCAAGATCTCAGAGTACATATGAAAAAAGTGATACAAATTACTAATACTCTCTTCAAAACCCCTAACAAAAAAGATTATTTATTTCCTATTACCTTTAAAATGTGTTTACAGATCTTTGAAGACATTTATTAGCACTTATCTGTGTTACCTTGGTCCACTGCTGTCTACTTTCTGTCCACTGAAAAATTCTAGGTTTTTACGTGTACTAATATGATAAGGGTATAAGGAAACATGCAAAGAAACACAGAAAAAAAAAATTGAGGAAAACATGTCAGGGCAGTCAGAAGATAGTATCTAAAATGAAAACAAGGAAAAGGAAAAAGGGGGAAAAAAAACCCTGGAATTTTTTAAAAGCTTATTTACTCATTAAAAGCCTAAACTGCATGGATATGCTGAACCAATGGTGACTCACATCCAAATTAGGAGGGCAGCACAAGGTTTCACCTCCCTATCCAGACCTGTATGCAGTTGAAGATGTACGTATTTATGCCTAGTTTTCCTTGGTATTTAATGTATTGACGATTGAACCCAGGTCTTCACACATGCTAGGCCCTCTACCACCTGAGTCATGCCACTAGTCAATTTGTTTGTGCTTTCTCTTTTGGATATCATCTAACTACCTTTGATGGGGCTAGGTTGATCTTCCTGCTTCCACTTGAGTAGCTAGGATTACAAAGTGTGCCAATAGGTCCACCTTGTTTTTATATTTTTGAGACAAAATCTTAGGATGATGTAACCTATACTGGCCTAGAACTTGTGATCCCCTGAATGCTATGAACTGCCTCAGCATTTATAATGCTAGGATTACAGTCATGAACCATGTAGCCCCAGATATGAATTACTTATTTATGGAAATTTCCAGTTAGTATTTCTGAGCCATGTATAACAGAAAATACAGAAAGCTAAAGATCTACCTTTTCATGTGTAAATACTTTATCCTGAACTGTTTTTTAGAACTGTTATTTTAAACATGTTCTTATTTTGAGTAAGTAATTTCCTTGAGCATGAGACTTACTTCTAACTTCTTTAAATTCCTCAGGCATCAGCAGTGTTTTAAAGGCTATCAAGATAACTCTAGTATCAACTTCTGAAAAAAGATAGATGGCCCCCAACATAGAATTTTTTTTTAACTTCAAAGTGCTGTAAAGACAATACACAAAATTTTAATCTTTTCCAAAGAAAACAGTATCCTGCATAGTGTCTGAATGTGATGCTTGCGGTGAGAAAGCTGCAGCAAGCAGTAACCACTTCACCCGCAGGATAAACAATCAACACTCTGCAGTATTGTTAAGCTATAATGTTTCATATGTGGACTCGATGCCATTCTGATTCAGGATATTTTCAGCTTGTGAATTTACCAGAATGTGAAGTTTAAGAGCATCTATATCAATAGGGCCTACAACCTAACTTCACAAATACTTTTCCTTCTAAATTCTAAATCACTGCTAAATAATTTCTAAGAGTTATAAATAACCTTTTTGACAATACATTCAACAAAACAGATTTAATCATTAGCTTACCGACAATATGGATTTCTTCTAGAGGAGTATCGAAGAGTAAGAAATCTGTAGTATATAAATGGCTGCAGCAAACTCCCTTGGCCACTGAAATAAACACAAGGGTGACAAATACACATTACCACTTCATGTACATACTTTCAAAAACTACAGGCAATTCTAATGGAGAATATGTGCCCTCGTTCATCAAATGGCCAATAATATCTGTAATACCTAAAGCCAAGTTACTTTTTGTGTGTGTGTGCTGGTACCAGGATTTGAACTCGGGGCCTCACACTCTTGCTCGGCTTGTTCTCTCTCAGCTGGCACTCTACCACTTGAGCCACGCCTCCAGTCTGTCACTTTGCTGGTTAGCTGGAGATGGAGTCTCATGGACTTTTCTGCCCAGGCTGGATCGAACCATGATCCTCCAGGTCTCAGCTTTCTGGGTAGCTAGGATAACAGGCATGAGCCACCAGCGCCCAGTGAAGTCAAGTTATTCTTTAAAAGGAATAGAAGAATGTAGATGATTGGTAAAAAGTAAAATTTTATTGTTTTAATTTTTATGCATATGCATTTATCTGTGTTAACTTTTCAAACTTAACAATACCAAATAAGCCAGAAAATACTACGTAATCAGCATATTGCTAAATTCCAGTTTTAAAACTTAATATACATTTAAATGAAAAGTGGTTTATTTTAGTGCTGGAGGCATGGTTCAAGTAGTAGAATGTTCCTGAGCAAGCATGAGGCCCTGAGTTCAATCCCAGTACTAGAAGAAAAAACACTTAGTGTATACAAACAAAAGCTGAAGTTATACTTGTTCACTAGGTAAATATACACAGCTATACTAATTAATGTTCTTAAATAAAAAGCACAATTATAATACACCAAGAGTTTTCTGTGTACGTGCTTGTGAAGCTCCACATCTTATTAAAAAATTGGTATTCATTGAAATAACAGAAAATAAAACCAAGCAATGGGGCTACAGTCATGGCTCAGTGGTAGAACACTTGCCTAGCAAGTGCAAAGTCCAGGGTTCAATCCTTAGTACCAGAAAATACACAGTAACTTTACGTGGACAGTGAGTGTTGGATTAGTAAATTATGTCTATTTGATGGACTTTAGTATATAGCTATTTAAAATCTTGGTTGAAAACTGCATGGCAACCTTGACAAAAAGCAAACTATCCAACTATACTTACAATTACAACTGTTTTTTTAAAATTCATTTTGGAGCAACGATATGTTCAAGGCATTAAGTGTGTTATGAGGTTTTTTTTTTTTTTTTCAGTCCTGGGGTTTGAACTCTGGACCTGAGCATTGTCCCTGGGCCCCTCGTGCTCAAGGCTGGCGCTCTACCATTTGAGCCATAGCACCATTTCCAGCTTTTTCTGGGTAGTTTCTTGGAGATAAGAGTCTCATGGACTTTCCTATCCCAGCTAGCTTCAAACCATGAACCTCAGATCTCAGCCTCCTGAGTAGCTAGGATTACAGGCACAGGCCACATGCACCCAGTTTATGGGATTTTATTGTTTGCTATGTTGCTAGTCCAGTATTCCCTATACATTTTGCCTTGGCCTCCCAAGTGCTGGGATTACTGATTGACGTGGGCCACTGCACTTGGCCTAAATGTGATTTCTTCAGTTAATTTTTTAGACTTTTCTTTAAGTCATGTGATACTACTTTCACAACAAAAATAATTTAAATGATTACAAACTTGGAACTAAATTAAATGCTCATTATCACCAAACAAATAACCAACATTTAACTTTCCTAATTGAAAAATGCATACAATACAGAAAATAGAAATAAAAATATTCACTGGAAAACAAAATTCCATCTTCCGACTTAGCCCTTTCTCAAACTTTTAACACAACCTCTAATATATACTTCAAGAAATTTTCACAAATTGAAAGAGTATGTCAATACTACTCAAAGTAATTTAGAGATGATAATACAATGACAGTCTTCGTAAAAACAGGAAAAAAATTTAATTCAGGTGACATTCTGGAAAAGATATTCTGAGATTCCAAATAGCCAAATAAGAAGCTGGAGGCATAACAATGCCTGATGTCAAGATACACTAAAGACTCACAACCAACACTAAAAGCCAACCCGGAGCTGGTGCTGGTGGCTCACACCTATAAGCCTAGCTATACAGGAGGCTAAGATCTAAGGACTGTGATTCAAAGCCAGCTTGAGTAGGACAAGTCTAGGAGATTCTTGTTTTTGTTGTTGTTGTTTTGTAGGTAGTGGAGCTTGACCTCAGGGCCTGGGCGCTGTCCCTCAGCTTTTCAGCTCAAGGCCAGCGCTCTTACCACTTTGAGCCACAGAGCTACTCCCTAAGAGATTCTTATCTTCACTTAGAAACAACAACAACAACAACAAAAAACCAGAAAACCAGAAGTGGAGCTGTGGCTCAAAGGGGCATAATGCTAGCCTTGAGCAAAAGAGCTCAAGGATTATACCCAGAACCAAAGTTCAAGCCCAGACCACGACAAAACAAAAACCAACTAGGACACCAACTGAGCAGAAGAAGAGATAAGATATAAACCCACACATATCTACAGCCAACTAAGCATACACTGGAGAAAGGAAAGCTTTTCAGTAAGCAGTGCTGGAAAAAACTGCACACCTGTATGGAGAAGATTACACTAGACTCCTAATATCTCACCACATATAAAGTCAAATCAAAGGTGAGAAAAAACGTTAAGTGTAAAACATGACATTATGAAACTAACGGACTAACAAGGGAAATACTTCAACACATTGGTATAAACAATTTTGTTTAAGAGCTCAAAAGCACAGGCAAGAAACACAAAATTACACAAATAAGATATTAAACCTAGAAGCTTCTACACAGCAAATAGTAATGAAAAGACAACCTATTCTTCTAACAAAGGATTAATGTCCAGAATAATAAGGAATTCAAAACTTTTAAAAACCAGATAAACAAATGGACATGTGATCTGAACAGACATTTCTCAGAAGAAGATATACAAATGGCCAAGAAATATTTTTTTAAATGCTTAACATCTTCAGTAGTGGTACTCACTAGACATTATGCTGAAAATGAACGTACAACTTGTGGGTGCGGATGACAGGGAAGGGGTGACATTATCAAAAAAAAAAGGTATTCATTGTCTGACTCATGTAACTGTAACCACTCTATAATCACCTTTATAACAACTTAGAATTTTTTTTTAAATGCTGAACCTCACTAGCCATCAAGAAATACAAATCAAAACCACAATATCGCCTCACCCATCAGAATTGATTAATAAGAGAAAAGCCATAACAAATAGCTAGTGACGATGCAAAGAAAAAGGAATTTTTATGCATCGCTTGTAGCAATAAAAGTATAGCAATTATGGAGGGTCCTCAAATAGCTAAAAGTAAAACAACCACATGTCCAAGTTAATTTGTTCAGATATGAAATGAAATCAACGTGTGTTTATAGCTAAGAGATAATAACCAACTAGAGTATCAGTATATGAATCTCTTTAAAAAAAAAAAAGGGCTGGGAAGCTGGCTCAGTGGTAGAGCGCTTGCCTTGCATGCATGAGGCCCTGGGTTCGATTCCTCAGCACCACATAAGCAAAAAAAGCCAGAAGTGGCACTGTGGCTCAAGTGGTAGAGCGTTAGTTAGCCTTGAGCTGAAGAGCTGAGGGACAGCGCCCAGGCCCAGAGTTCAGGCCCCACAACTGGACCCAAAAAAAAAAAAAAAAATGTAAAGAGGAAGGGAGGAATGCAGTCAAAAAGTCAATGAAAAGCTGGGCGACGGTGGCTCACGCTTGTAATCCTAGCTACTCAGAAGGCTGAGATCTAAGTTATCACCATTCAAGGCCAGCCCGAAAAAGAAAGTCCAAGAGACTCTTATCTCCAATAAACCACCAGAAAGCTGGAAGTGGCACTGTGGCTCAAGTGGTAAAGCTCTGGCCTTGAGCTAAAGAGCTCAAGGACAGTACCCTGGCCCAGTGTTCAAGCCCCATGACAAAAATAAAAAAGTCAATGTATAGCCTACAAAATTAAGAAAAGTAAAGTGAGAGAAGGGGTGGTTTGGGAAGGATGGGTGAGAATGCTGACAGGGGTGACACTGATGGAGATGCACTGTCTTCATAAACTGCTTTGTTAAAAGGCAACTTCTTTGTAAAATTACTTAACTATATATATATATATAGAGAGAGAGAGAGAGAGAGAAGGATATTATGTAGATGATAGTGGATCACACAGAAATGAGTAGCACAGTGATTACCAGAGGTGAGAAAGATCAGGAAGGGAAAGTAGGATACAGGGAAGTTCAGTAACAGGTACCAATATAGTTTCACTCAAAGAATATGTTTCAGTGAAAAATTACAACTCATCATTTCCTTTACAATAATTTGAAAATTATGATGTTAAGTTGAAAATAATAAATAATGTTTAAGGACCACAATTAAGTTAATATACCAATGATATAAAAAGAAAAACCACTGCTGTAGAATAAACAAATGTACTACACTTTCAAATGAGGTTTCTCTCTCCAAGTTGCATGGCATCTCAGCATTTTATTATAATTATATTAAGCTGATATGTTTTATGTTAGCTCTGGGAATTCAATCCAAGGCTTTGCATATGCTAGGCAAGCATTCTAGCACCGAGCTTTACCCTCAATCCCTTAGGCTGATTTAAGAAGAATAAATTATTTTGCTTATTATACAGAATTTGGATATTTCTGAATGTGGACATAAACTATATGTACACAAAAACTAGTCTTAGTAGCTACCATTTTAATTTTCAGCCAATGACAGGAACAAAAAAAAAAACAGAACCTAACCTGTCCATGACCAAGATTAGGTGACCCAAGAAACCAAAAACTGGGTAAAGAAAGTAAGAAGACAAAATTTCCTTTTAATAATTCAAGCGTGTAGGCTGAAGGTCTGGCTCAACTGATAGGCAGAATGTGTGCCTAACAAGTTCAAGGCAGAGTACAAAGCCCATTACTAAATAAATAAAAATATTTAAATGTTTGGTAAGTACCACAAAAGAGAAATAAAAAGTAAATCATGAGGAAAATGCTGCAACTTTTATTATCTCCTTTTCTTTACCTTAAATTCTATTACTCTTTTCTTTTATGTATCCTCAAGCTAAGATAAAAGTTTCACTTGACTTTAAGGTGAAAGTTTTAGAGCTAAATACTCCAAAAATATAGCTGCATCAAATCCTATATTCAGCATTGATGGACTGTTAAGGTATTTATTTCAATTAATACTACACCTTTTTTGTGTCTATGTTGCAAAGGTTTGAACCCAGATCTTCACACATTCTAGGGCTTAATACTACTTTTTTTTTTTGTCGGTCATGGGGCCTGAACTCTGGGCTTGGGTGCTGTTCCTCAGCATTTCAGCTCAAGGCTAGCACTCTACTACTTGAGCCACAACACCACTTCTGGCTTTTTCTGCTTATGTGGTGTTGAGGAATCGAATCCAGGGCCTCAAGCATGCAAAGCAAGCACTCTACCACTAAGCAATCTTCCCAGGCCCTTAATACTACTTTCTAAATAAGGAACTTTAGGATTCAGAAGCTAAGTTCATGATAAAATCAACTATTATCCATCATAGGAATATGAATAAGACAAATAGGACCAAGTGCTAGTTTTATTATGACTCAGAAATTGCTAAGATCCATCTAGCTCTACATGTCAAATACCTACTTACACAGATTCAAGCAAAATGAAATTTGAGTTCACATCTTAATGTCCACTTAGCCATCAGTCTTCAAGAGCAAATGTATTTTTATTCTTACCTAAAAAGCATAAAAACTGTAGCAGGCATCAAGAAAATTTCATTACAAGCAATGAATTTCAAAATATTCTGTTGATTAGTACTTAATTTATCCAAGACAGATCTCAACAGAGGTAAACTATTTGAACCTTTTGCCTGAAACAAAAGAAAAACAGCATTAGAAACAATGAAGCCCACTTAGCAATGCAATTCGTCACCTCTCAGTGTGACTGTCATCCCCTCAGGATACACGGGGACTAGTTCCAGGACATCCCTCAGATTCCCAAGTATGTGGATCCTCAAGACCCTTATTTAAAATGATACAGTATTTTCATATAACCTACACATATATTCTCCCATGCTCTAACTCAGATTGCTTAACATTCCTAATGCACATGGATCCTACATAACTGTTATATTGTTTAAGGAATGGCAAAAAGTCTGCACATGTTCAGTACAGACACAGCTGTGTTGTACAAATATTTTTACCCCTAGATGGTTAACACCACAGATGTAAAATCCATGGATACAAAAAGTCATGGCTATGTTTTCTTTTCAATAAGTAATGTATCTAACAGGTAATACAGTCAAAAGCCAATCCTTTCAAAATAATCATACATGTTTACAAATTAAGGGCAAATATAGTATACCTTTCCTGCTATACTTTGTGTATTTGAAGACAACCAAAGAGATACTCATCGAAGTCTTTTTCATTCTTTGATACTTTATTTCCCTTAAGAAAAGTTAAATGATCTCACAGGTGTTTCAAAAATAAAGAAATCTATTTCAAACTTCAGAAATTATCTGGGATCTGGAGAGTAATTTTACTTGCAATCCTTCACCCATAAGATAAACTCATATGTGATACTTTAATAATAAAACTTTGAAATTCGAATTTTTGTGGCCAATGCCAAAATATTCTACAAGTCAAACACATGTTAGGTATCTACAATTCAAAAACAGCAGTTTTACTTACATCAAGAACCTTTTTTGTGTACGTGGCAGCATGAAGCAAAGAGAACAACAAGACTGGAAAAATACTCACTGAAGAAAACAATTAAGGGAAATGTTTAAGTCATCAAATACTAGAGGCAAAGCAGGTTATCATGTCCAAATATACACATCTGCAATATACACCTGCAAAGTGAGTTGAGTAGAAACACTTTTGTGTCACTGATATATTTTGGATCAAACTGTTTTGTCATGTATAAAGAAAAAAGTAAACAAAGTTAACATACTTTTAAAATCTATTTTCTAAAGTTTCTTTCTTTACATCTACTGGTAAATAAAACACTGTAAATATTTGCTAAAATGAACTTTTAGTTTAGACTTTGTCAAACTGACCTTAAAACACAGGGACAGGGCTGGGAAGGTGGCTCAGTGGTAGAGCGCTTGCCTTGCATGCTCAAGGCCCTGGGTTCGATTCCTCAGCACCACATAAGCAAAAAGAAAAAGCCGGAAGTGGTGCTGTGGCTCAAGTGGTAGAGTGCTAGCCTTGAGCTGAAGAGCTGAGGGACAGCGCCCAGGCCCAGAGTTCAGGCCCCACAACCGGACCCAAAAAAAAAAAAAAAAAAACACAGGGACAGTCTTGGCTCACAGCTAATACTCTACTACTTGAGATAGGCTTCCAGTAAGGATAGTCCTTTAGTGATCAGCCAACAAGAAGAGCCAAAGACCCCACATACCAAAAAGCTGTTACAGTCAGGCCATGGTCTTCACACCTTTTTTTTTTTTTTTTGTCAGTCGTGGGGCTTGAACTCTGGCCTGGGCGCTGTCCCTCAGCTCTTCAGCTCAAGGCAAGCGCTCTACCACTTGAGCTACAGCGCCACTTCCGGTCTTCACACCTTTAATCCTAGCTACTCAGGAGGCTGAGATCTGAGGATACTGGTTCAAGGCCAGCCTGGGCAGTAAAGTCCATGAGACTCTTATTTCCAATTTACAACCAGAAAACTGAAGTGGAGCTGTGGCTCAAAGTGGTAGAGGCTAGCCTTGAGCAGAAAAGCTCAGGAACAGTGACCAGGGCCTGAGTTCAAGCCCCACAATCAACAGAAATTAAACAAAAAAAAAACCTGTTACAATTATACTTGTATACTTGAGTTTGTACATAATCCACTGGACACTTAATTATAGCCATTAACAGAGAATCCTTTAAGTCCTATGCCTGACGTTATGCTGCGGATATACAATTTTCTTAAAACTTCTGAAGAATTCAAATTGCTCAAAAGACCCCATTTTCCATACTAATGCCTACAAGACCAATAGAAAAACCCAAACAACAAAAACTTATCAAGTATTTTCACAAATGATATTCTTAAATCAATCATGAATGGCAAAATATTATCGATAAGAATATTAGTCTTGCAGGGTGCCGGTGGCTCACGCCTGTAATCCTAGCTACTCAGGAGACTGAGATCGGAGGATTGCGGTTCAAAGCCAGCCGGGCAGGAAAGTCCGTGAAACTCTTATCTCCAATAAACCACCAGAAAACCACAAGTGGCACTGTAGCTCAAGTGGTAGAATGCTTGAGCTGAAGAGCTGAGGGACAGGGGACAGAGCTCAAGCCCAGAGTTCAAGCCCCATGACCGACAAAAAAAGAATATTGGCCTTTCTTTTTTTTTTTTTGCCAGTCGTGGGCTTAAACTTTGGGCCTGGGAGCTGTCCCTCAGCTCTTCAGCTCAAGGCGAGCACTGTACTACAGAGCGCCACTTCCAGTTTTCTGATGGTTCATGAACGTTCCTGCCCAGGCTGGCTCTGAACCGAGATCCTCAGATCTCAGCCTCCTGAATAGCTAGGATTACAGATGTGCGACACCTGTTGAATATTAGTCTTTCTAAGAAATGAGTTACTTTATTTTCCTATAGTAAGTGAAGGCTTTGTATGAATGGTGACCAACGTTAACATGAGCATCAAGCTCATAAAAACTAACTCATTTAGTATCCAAAGGTTCCTAATTTCCAGTCAGGGAGCACATATACCTAAGGAACACATAAGAACTAATGGTGTAGACAGAACTAATGTGAAAGTTCTCCTAGTCAACCCTAACCAATTCTTTCTTGCCACTACAACAATTAAATGTTAATTTTCTGAGTAGATCTTCACTCCCCAACATGACTCCTTTGAAATGGATAAAAGCTATAATCATCTCCTTTTAAGGGCCTGCATGGCATAAATAATTCAAATTAAATTTTGACATACATCCAGATTTGGAAGAGAGGCAGTATCAGGTGGTAAAAAAAAAACAGAACTCTGAACTGAGAGACAAGACATCTGAGTTCCAATCCTGGGTCTGTTATAAACTTCATTTTCCTGGGCCAATTTTTACCCTCTGTCAACAGGCTACGTACACATCAAAGGTAGAGACTTCCAGTAAGTCTTTAATCTCTAACTTCCTATATTTCACAAATCCTTAGTAAGAGATTCGTAATTTTAGTTTTTTATGTCACTTTATAAACTATTTAAAAAAGGTAAGGAGTGGCTAATCTACCATTTAAACCTTAAGTACCTGTCACTGACAGAGCAAGGACAACGTAAACTTTTGTAAGAACAATGATCAGACATTTTGTAGTATTTATTTGAACCTTATTATCATAATATTCAACTTCCTTGGGAACCAAATGATTATTTTTGTCAATTCAATCTGTTATTCCCACTGCTCACTACACCCCCACTCCCAAGAACTGAACAAATACGAAATCCTCAGTCTTTAACATCCCCATGAGACAAGTTAGCTAATAACCAACTGTGCAAAAAGGGCAGAAAGGTGGTCATCACACATAAGACCCATTTGGCAAGCCTCAGGATTTGAATAACAAAGCTTACTGAGCACCTGATCTGTTACAGGCATTGCCCACAGAATCACGGTATTCAATTTGCTTTATACTAATTAACTAAAATACATTTTCTTTCATTTCTATCTCTCCCTTCCACAGAAACTTGAAGCTATTAGGGAATAATCAAAAACTTCTATGTGCCTTCCAATACAATTTCAGAAAAGCAATCATTTTAATATTGGTGATTTCAAAGTACTTCAAAAACACCAATTACAAAAGCTAGTAAATCAAATAATGTGCCGAACATTTATGTTGTGGTATACTGAGTTTTGCATAAAAAATAAAAAATAAAAAAACCCACCAAAAAACCCCAAGAAACAAAAAAACCACAAAAATTATCACAGAACATGAAAGGGCTATACAATGAAATATGAAAACCTCTAACGTTATGTTTCAAATCACTTAAATTATCTTAGTAAAGCAAGAATTTTAAACTGAATGTGTCAATATTATAAATGTAGGTGAATCACTGGCTTTACTCAGGAACTTTTATTTTTACTTTTGGTGCTAGTAATGGGACTTGAACTCGGGGCCTTGCACTCTAGCTTGGCTATTTTGCTCAAGGCCGGCACTCTAGCACTTGAGCCATACCTCCACTTCTGGCACTGATTTTTCTGCTCAGGCCTGCTCTGATCAGTGATCCTCAGATCACTGAGTAGCTAGGATTAAGGTGAGAGAAACTGGTGCCTGGCCCTAAGAGCAATGTTTTAAAACTACATTTTTAAGTACTGCCCATTAACTAATCAAATCTTTTAGGTTAAAAAGACATTGTCAGCATTACTATTTGCTACCTAAAGTAGTAACAAGAGTAATAGGAGTAAAAGGAGTAATAGTAATTAGAGATTAGGAATGTCAAGTTCCTTTATAGAGGCAAAGTAAGTGCCTATGAAATTTGTTTCTTCCTCTTGCTTTCCTGAAAACTCGTGAAACTCTTTAGGTCCCCATGTGTAGCTCAATGATATAGCATTGCCTTGTTATGCACAAAATGCACTAAAAAATGGCACTGGCAATCACTAGCACCTAGTAAGAAACAGTGGAAAGTTTGGTAGTTCACAAAAATAAGTACTATCAAAATGGGTAAGATTTAATCTTGAAACTTTTTATTGTGCTCTTCACAAAATATATAGTTATCTCATAAATAGCTACAAACTCTGAAGCAGTACTCTCAAAGCACCAAATAATTTTCTAAGAAATATTCTACAGAAAATATTTAAAGTAACACCTTCACTTTTAGTTTCAAGGTACACAAAGGTGCTATAATAAAGAACCCTTTCTAAATTGCATAACTTGGGCTGGAAGCAGGGCTCAAAGTGTTTGCCTAGCATATGCAGGACTTGGATTTCAAGTTCAAACCACAGTACTGGAAGAAAAAAAAAATTAAAGACCAGGCTTGAAGGCTCATACTTGTCACTACAGCTATTCAGGAGATAAGAGTTTTGAGGACGGCCAAGGACAGGTTAGCAAGATTCCATCTCAACAATTAAGCAGGGCATGATAATGTGATGCATGCCTGTGATTCCAGCTATGCAGGACAGGTAAGTATAAGGATCTCAGTTGAAGGCCAGCCCCAGGCAAAAACACAAGACCCTATTGAAAAACTAACTAGGGTCATGGATGGTTCGAGTTGTGGTACTAGCAAGCATGAGGTCCTGAGTAACTCAGTATCACCAAAAAAGTTTTAACACCCTTTAGAAATGTGAAAACACACAAATTCCAAATGAAGTATTTTTCCTTAGGTAGATAAATTATCTATGTGTCCTTTATTTTCTACTTTTTCTGCAGCAAACACTATTTTCTTATTATTTCTGGATTAATTTTCAATTATTCTTGGCTTACCTGGAAGTTAAGAAGGAATTAAGGTTTTTTTTTTTTAGTAAGACACATGGCTGGGGGGGGGGAGGCTGGGAAGGGATGTGAAGGGTAAACAAAGGAGGAGGCTGCAATGCTTGATAAGAAATGTACTCATTACCTTGCCCCTCTGTACAATATGTTCACAAAAAATTAAAATTAAAAAAAAGACACATGGCTACTTTCCCAAAGACAGGAAATTGTCAGTCATAGGCCTGAACTCTGGGCCTGGGTGCTGTCCCTCAGCTCTTCAGCTCAAGGCTAGCGCTCGACCACTTGAGCTACAGAGGAATTAACTTTTTAAAAAATTTTAATATCCAAGTAAATCCTGAATAACCACGTACTTTGAATTTAAAATTCAAAACTCATCTAGTTATAGAGAAGCTTACAAGGAGGCAAGAATATTTGATAAGACAGTCTAAATTCACTGAAGAGCACTTCAATGCTTAAATTTCAAAGTTGGGGCCCAGAAATTCTTATACTAAACATACAAATGCATTGGAAAACACCAAACAAGCCAAAGCTGAGGTATGTCCTCACTACAGAATCTTTGCTATAGAAAAAGAAATGAAGACACCCTACATGGTTAGTTGCTAATGTCATTATTAGGAAGTAGAAAAGGATACTTGTAACGGGGGAGGAATTGACAAAGATGAGTGAATACAGCAGATAGTGGCAGCTGTCCTCTAACAGAGCCTGGGCCAGGAATGCTCTGCTTAACTGGAAGTGCGGTAACCTTTGGTGCAGCCGCAGGGCACTGGTAAGAGCATTTGCCAGCAACGCACGCTGGTAGAAGCTTGCTGCTTCATGAAACCTGCGAATTATCAGAGAAATGATATGAGACATAAACAACTACCATGTCTCTTCCTCCTTTGTGAATTGCATCAGAATTGCACAACACCTAAATTACTTAATTGTCTACAGGAAAAAAAAAATGACTTGAACCTATTCTACCTTCCTGGAAGCATCACTTTATATTCCAATTGAATTTTCCTGTAAAGTTAAAAAAGTGATTATTTCTTATAGTGATTCTGTCAAGTTAAAAAAGTAAAATAGGCAAAAAAAACCATAAACTCATCTCATCCATTTTTCCTATTTCCATTTTTTCCTATTTTATAATCACAAGATTAAAATATTCCTCCATTGATACCATTAGACAACTGTTGATTTCAGATAGAATTTTGGTTTTATCTAGACCTAAACCCAACAATTAACCAATTCTTAAATCTAAAAAGCATTTCATAAATACTGACTAAACTAACCACCAAAGAAAGAAATAGGTATAATACATACCCAAGAAGAGGCAAAACAAACAAAGCTGAGCAGTAAACTGTGAACAAACGAGAAAGCCACATAGCGGTGTCCAGTTTATTGGTCATCATGAATTGCTAAATTTAAAAAGAAAAATACTGTGGTAAACTAAGCCTGTAAATAATATTCTTAAGGACAGAGTATGTAGTTTCATCCCTATTTGAAATATTTTAACACCTTATAACACTTTAAGATTATTAAGCAAAAACTTTTATGACAACCAACTGCTTCACATATATGCTCAAGACAAATCCAAATACCCTGTAATTTTGATATGGAAAGCATAGGAAATACTTAAAATACTAACTAGGAAAAAATATTAACTAGACAAAAGTTAAACTACTATTATCAATGTTCTTCCAGCTTTTGTTTTCTTCAAATTTTTGTTGTTGTTGTTGGTTTTGCTGTACTGGGGTTTAAAGTCTGGCCCTCACCATTGCTATACAGGTACTCTAACTCTGAGCCATGTCTCCAGCTCTCTACCAACATACTTACAATACTGGCTTCATCTATTTTAAAAGAACATTAAATTAGAACTACTTGCTCTCAAGAGAACCAAAATGTCTATTCTTGGAAAATGTCTATTCTTAGAGGGCATTACCAAAAAAAAAAAAAAAGTTTGCCTAACTAAACCCTTTAAAAGGGGAAGGTAAAACCACTGTAGTGGTTAGTTACTGTTGCACTCATTAGTATCATTTGCCTATGTACACAGGCCTGGAATACCTGTGGCACTTAAAATATCATCTATCTGGTATTAGACGGTACCTGCTGCTCTGATATGTGGCTGTCTGCACCCTCTGAGGGCTCCCCATAGCTTTACTCTGGTATCAATGATACTAGATTAAATTTCCATATACCATGTCTTCTCCATTGTTTCTCCTCCTGTCTTTTCCTTTGCTACTTTTCTCCCCCAACAAGTATGTCCATTACCACTAAAGAATTTAAAACATGTTTTATCACTACGATGCACTTTACACACAAAATCAAAAGGACTTTACATTTTCAACTACAAACTCAGAAATGTTAAGAGATATAATACAAATTATACATTGGCATATAAAAAAATTGAAACATGTCCTTACTTCATGTGATGAATTTGCCTATGCATTAAAAAATAGTTGCTACCTCCCTTAAAGTGATTTCAAACCTCATGAATGGGTCTACCTGAAGGGTTTTTGTGTGTGTGTGTGTTTGTGGTTTTTTTTTTTTT